ACACGCCTCCTCCAGAGCACAAACACCATAGATGCCGCCTGCCCAGTGCCCTGCGGGCTGGCTCCCCAGCCTGAGCCTCCCTCACCCGCCCACTGCCTGGCCCTCTCCCCCCAGTGCCCTCCTGACCTGCTGTTTCTCCACCTGCACCAGGCTCTGCCGTAGGCCAGCTCCCCTAGAGCCACGGGCACTTGCAAGCTCGCCGTGAAGCCACGCATCTGGTCACCCGGCGGCACCCGGCATGTCTACCATCCTGCCCTCCACCTGCCCCACCTCACCCGCTCCCCGTGGTGGCCTCCTAGCGCTGGGGAAGGGAGCAGGGCACCTCTTTCCCGGCCCGAGGACCCCAAGAAGCCCGGGCGGGTGGCCGAGTGGAGCCCAGAGGAGCAGGAAGCCGGGACCGAGGTCAGGGGATGGGTGAGCAAGGTGGCTGTCCGGGCACACTCCCAAGCCAGAGGAAGGGTGGGAGTGGCAGGGAGACAGAAGGTGGGTGAGCTAGTCTCGGAGCACCCTCAGCAAGCTGACCCCTGAATAGCTGCCTGGGTAAGCCCCCCAGTAAACTCAGCCCTCCACCTGCTCAGCACTACCCCTCTATACACGCACGCACACACACACGGAAACACACATGCGCACACGAACACGCACACACACACTTGCACACACAGGGGCACACACACACCCTCCACGGTCCGGCGGAGCAGAAGGTCCCACACTCCTGGCTCCCCCTTGCCAGTTCTGTGGGCCATCCCCTCTTCCCACAACCACTCCCCACAGCAGGACCAGCGCAACACACCCTCAGTATGCTCTCCATCACTGACGACGTCCACCCCGAGGGCTCTCCCACATCTTCCTTGAGCCACTGAGCGCATTCCCTGCAGCCTGTCTCCCCCATGCTGGGCATTTCTATGCTGAGCTCTGCCCCTGCCCCAGCAGGCTCTCCCCTGAGCACCCACCCTGCCCACACCACTGCCCGGCTGGTCTCCCTCCTGCCCTCACCGCCCTGATGCTCAGGGGAGAGCCCAGACAAACCTCTGTGCTGGGCCTGCCGAGGCCTTCCGCTCCCAAGGTGTCTAGGCCCTCACAAGTCACCAGGCCCTGCGCTCCGTCCCATCTGAGCACACACCCCCACCACTGTCCTCCCACACCCTCCCAGTCCCAGGGAGGCCAGACCCCCACGACAGTGAGGCCACAAAGCAGGGGCAGGGAGACAGGTGGTGGCTCCGCGAGGGGCCTGGCCTGGGCACGGTGGGACCCCCATTCTGCAGCAGGGCCTAAGTGACCAGAACTGCCACGTTCGCAGGGAGCCAATGGGCTGCGCACACTATGGCCAGAGGAGAAGGGAGGCAGGTCCCCCAGAGCAGCCGGGACACCTCACACTCAGAGAGCAGAAGCAGGTAGAGGCGCTCAGCATCACAAAACTTTCCGAGGAGGGAGCTGCGCTCTGCAGCATTCCCCAGGACAGGTGCCCAGGCAGGCACCCCCTTGGTCCACACTCGGGCAGTGCCGGGCCTCCACTCAGACCAGCTGCCCGCGTCGCTCAGGACCTGAGGGATGGCTGGCTGCTGGCTGGGCTGCACCCTGCTCCGGCTGGAGTCTCCAGGGACCATCGCGGGAGGGAACAGAGGGCACGCAGGACGCACAGTGTGTCTGGCCGGGCCAGCCTCTCCACAGCCCTCCCCCTGCCCCCCCAGAACTTGGTACAGAGCAGGGGGTGAGATGCGCATGCCTCCTGCCCCGATGCACAGCGCCCAGTAAGGGCCGGGGCAGAGGCACCTGGGTCGGTGTATTCTGAAGATACAGGCAGCTGGATTCCTGATGAGCGCAAAGGTCCGGGTGACAGAGAGGCCAGGGCGGGGAGACCGGGACGTGGGGGCACCTCACGCGGAGGGGAAACACACAAAGGCACCACGTGGACTGAACAGCCAGGCCAATGCGTTAAAGGAAGTCTAGAGAAAAAGATTTAAGCTGGAATGATTAACTTTGGCGTACCAATCCGTAAAATGTAACGCCTGTATCCTTTTAAGAAATCGGCTTGAAGCATCCCGTGTAGACACAAGGCTGCTGCGCGGCCACTGCGAACTAACAGCGAGCCCCGGGCGAAGAAAGAGCCACAGACGCGGAACAGAAACAGGATCCTGCGCGGGCATTCGCAGCGCCTGCCACCAACCCAGACAGCTGGGGCCAGGCGCGGCGCTGCGGAGACCAGGGAAGCCCCGGGCCGCAGGGAGGAGGGGCTGTGCCCCCCCAGGGGCCGCAGGGGAGGCGGGGCTGTGCCCTTCCCCTGCCCCCTCCCCCCCCACAAGCACGCAAGGAGGTGGGCCTGTGCCCTCCTGGTGGGGTGACCGCTCCGTGCCTAGCCTGCGTCCTCACAGCAACAGAGCTGCTGGAAACACCATACCTGTCCTGCTGGAGTCTGGCAAAGGGGGCATTTCTCCCACGGGACAGCTCTCCCTTCTAGAACGCAGACTCCCTCAAGGGTAGGGATCCAGTTATCTTGTCCTCTATGAAATTCAGGTGCCAGAAGCACAGCGGTCAGAGGATAATCGCTCAATGCACCTGTTGACCCAGAAGCTGGAGTGGACTCCACAGCAGCCTTCTGGGAATGGGGGAAGAGCCAGGGACCACCAGGTGGGGGCGGGTAGGGGGGCTGGAGCAGGGGGGACAGTGAGCGATGGGTACAGGGAAGACTTTGATGGGACACAAGTGGGTGCAGGAGCAAAGTGGGCTGGCCTCTGGGGGCTGCAGGGACAGAGAGGCGGGCAGGGGCGGTGGTGGCAGGAGGTTCTAGAAGTGGCCCGATTGGGCCAAACTTGGAAGGCAGAGCTGAGCAGACTTCCTACAGGGTTGGCCTGAGGAGAGATGGGGAGAGCAGCCAGTGGGGACTCCTCTGCTCAGGAAACCATCAGACTGGACGGGGACAGCACAGCCTTACCTGGAAGCCTCAAGCCACTGAAGATGCCACGTCTCCCGATCACACTAAGCAATTAGGATAGTTACAAAGTGTCAACAGGCCAAATCTACATACAAGTTGAATAAGCACAGACGAACAGCTAGCGCCTTTCACAGGGAAACGGAGCGCTGGCTGGGCTGTCCCGCAGTGGGGACAGTGCATCGGAGACTGCAGGAGCCACAGCTGGATCGTCCTTGCACCTGCCGCGGGATTTGGTCACCACTAGTCCTGTGGGGAAAGGACACGACTAGTGGTGCCAGCTGGCTCTCAGATCTCTCACAGTAATTCTGGGCAACTGTAAAATTCTAAGCAAAACAGTAACGAAGATTGTTTTTAAAATCCGGGCGAACCTTGTATAATCTCAGTCTGGGGACTGCTTCCTAAATCTGCCAGCAAACCAGACCCTGAAACAGGATAGATGGATTTGACAACAGAGTGAAAAACTCCATGAAGTGAAGTTCAAACGGAGAGAAGTTCGGTCCCACGAGAGGGAGAGGCAGCAGGGAGGGCGGCAGGGTGTGGGGAGAGCTCCCCGAGGCTGGAAGGGCAGGTGTCTCCAGTAACGGACCCGAGGAAAAACCTCAACGCCGCGTTCCCGCATCCGAGTGTGGAGAGGACTTTCAGCTCGTGCGTGGATCCCCGGAAGACAGGCAGTGCACCTTGCGGGCTCATTACCGACCCAGTGTCGCAGCGCGGACACGCCCCCCGGCCTTACCAGCAAGCGGGCTAAGAAGACAAGACTGATGATGGGAACGCTCCTAAAATCTGAAAATGCAACCTCTGTGAATTCTGCCCAAAGTAAAACTAGGTGGAAGGTGTGTGTGCAGCCCCCTCCGCGAGTGAGCCCTGAAACAGTAGATGCCCGGCGGCCAGGTGGTGGGCGGATGCCTCAGTTCCTTCAGGAAAATGGTAGGACGCACACAGTGCACCAGAAAGGTAGGTTAAAGTCACAAAACGAGCCACTTAACTAAAAACAAATGGAGGGACACACGACAACACGCGTGTGCATACGCATGGGGATGCATGAAGATGCACTCTGTGTGTACCTGGGCACAGATCAAAATCTAGTATGTTCAGGTTATCTGTTCCTGAGCAGTAAGACTAGGAGGATTTTCAGTTTTCATTTTCTTGTGTTTTTTAACAATGGGCGTAGATTGCATGCATAATCAGAATAAAAATAATACTATTTTCATTTGGGGAAAATTATGTTGCAGAAAAATATATCAAAGCATAGAAAGATTCGTGGTTAAGTTTAGAACATACAGATCACGCTCCCACATCCCGAGCGTGTGGCGCGTGGTGCGGGAGGGTGTGATGTACGGCGTGTGTGATGGACGCGGTGCGTGCAGACAGACACAGATGGGACTGGAAGCACACACCAAAGACCTGGCGATGGTAACTTCCGGGTTTGGGGATAACTGCCATTTAATCTCTTACTTTTGTGTGTATACATACAGATCTCTAAACGTCATATAATTAACAGTGAAGTTTGAAATTAGGAGGTGCTCATTAGGAGCACTTCCTTTCCTAGCGGCTGAGGTGGGAGCCGCCCACACGCCTCTGGGGGCTGCCCCCAGCCCCAGCCCCTCCCCGGGAAGGCCCTCCACAGCCCCAGCCGGGGGCAGGACCGGCTGATACAGAGCTGCAGAGCTACACACAGGCTCATTTCTCCTTGTGCCTACGTGCTCTCCTCACCCCTTTACCTGGGAGCCTCCCCAGCAAGCTTCCCACATAAGGAGCCCCATCTAGACAAGAGACCCAGGAATTCAGGCAAAACCACGGCTGCCGGTGGGGCTGCCTTGACCAGCAAAAAGCGGCCTAGCTGGGGTCCCTGCACAGGCTCAGCACCCCTCCTTTCCCAACCTCCTCTCCCACCTGCCCTGCCCCACCCCCTCCTCCTCCCTGGCCATGCCCCCCACCTTCTTGCTCAGGACTGGCACCCCAGTCCTCAATCCTCCCTGCCCCCTTCCTCCCACCTCTCCACAAAAGCACACCCACCACCCATGGCCCACCATCACCACTGTGCAGCGCTCCTGACTCAGTCACCCCCACACACCCGTCTCAATCATGGCGGATTTTCCTATCCACCGTCCCCGCCCCAGAGCCTGCCTGATGCACACACACACTCGGTAAATGCACGTGGAAGATATGGACACCCCCCCCTTCTGGAGACCAGCAGGGGGCCTGGAGCCTTCCAGCAGGAATGCAGATGGAGAGCCAGGGCTGGGAGCACCTGGGAAGCCCCAAAACGTTCCCCAGCGGTGCAGGAGTGACCTTCCGGTAGTAGTCTCTAGAGCGAGCTCCAGTCCTGACCCTCATCCTCCCAGCCTTCCCATCAACTGACAGATGCCAGGGAGACCCTCGGAAGCTCTGGGCTTTGTCTGGGTACGGGCCGGCGGAGCAAGGCAGGGAGGGTTAAACACACACGCAGTGGGGCCACTTTATTGCGAGGTCAGGAGGAAGTCGTCACGCACAGCCCTGCAGGTGCAGACGTCCTGCACGAGGCCAGCAGCCCGGAGGCGCCCCAAGGTGTGGCTGCCAGCAGGTGAGGATCACGGCGGCGGCGCGGCCTGCCGCTGGGCGCCCCCCAGGCCTCGGGCACCCAGCTGTTCCGGCCATTGAGATTCTTCCGCCCTCCTGTGCAAGTCCTCCAGGTGGGGCCCTGGAGAAGGAACTGGCAGGGAGGAGGAAGGTGAGGGCTCGGGCTGTCCCCGAGGAGGCACAGGCGCAGGCCCCTGCAGGAGTGCAGAGGGACCCCCCGCCCCCTGTGGGCCCCGCCGGCTCGCTACTGTTCGGTGGTGTCACCTGGAACACAGCGCTCAGCTCTGCGAGCCCCGGGCTCCCGGCTCAGCCCCGTCCTGCCCTGCGTGGCATCATGCTTCCACGTGTGGCATGCATGGCAATGACTCCGTCTCTTCAAAGCAGGGGACGCCCAGCCTGGGGTCCCCAAGCCTCGGGAGCCTTGTCCAGACCCACGTGCACCCCACAGAGCCCCGCTTCACAGAGGGGCACCGAGAGGACAGTGTCGGAGCTGAGAGAGGAAGGGCCCCAGGGGCAGAGGCCCAAGGGCAGCAGTCAGCCCAGCCTTCCCGTCCCTCCACACCAAGGACAGGCTCCGAGAGACAGCGAAGCAACACCTGCCCCTCCCCGACCTGCACAAGTCCCAGGGGACAGCTGTGCACACAGCTTTGCTCACCATTAGCTACCCTCAGAGCAGTGGTGCCCTGGTCCAGAGTCACCACCCACACACCCGCAGCTCCTCCCCAGGTCATCCCAAAGGAGGGGGCATGGGGAGGGTGGGCTGGGAGGAAGTTTCCAGAAGCAGTGCCAAGGCCAAGTGCCCCATGGCCCAGGGAAACCTGTGCCCACCAGGGCCCCCGCATGTGCAGGGGAGCCCCCCACATGTCCCATGGAGCCCCAGGGATGGTGTCCCGGTTCTGTGGGGCCCAGGCCATGCCCACCTCCAGGGAGCCATGGGCTCATGACATGTAGAGAAGAAGCAGGTGGGCTCAGCGCCCTGTCTGCACAACAGGCCCATCTGGGAATTCCGGAAAGTGGCTGGAACCCAAGAGGTTTTGGGGAATAATGGAGACCTCACGCAGCAGCCCCACAGGCGGGTGCCTACATCCTCGGACACGGCAGGCCCCACAGCAGCCGGCCGGGCACGCGGACTCACCGATGACTGACAGGGTGCCGCAGTCCCGCTTGTGGAAGTCGCCCCAGGCTCTGGTCTTGCAGTATTTGCTGCAGGTCAGGATCCCGTAGCAGCGGGTGCAGGGCACCAGGCGCACTCCCACCGAGCGGCCGCACTGGGAGCAGAACTTGAAGAAGGGAATCCTGCACAGAAGCCACGTGGGCAGTGAGGCAGGGCCCGCCCTCTGTGACCCGCCGTCCCCACCGGGGGCGGGGGGGGCTGGTGCCAGGCCCACCATCCACCACGCAGGGTGGCCACCCACACATGGACAGAAACCTGAAGTCCCCGTCCATGGATGTCCAGCACAGGGCGATTTTGAACAGGAAACACACTGTGGCCTGGAAGCCACCAGGGCCGGGTAGGGGACGATGCCGTGGCATCAGGGACCCTTCTTGCCACAGCACGGGAGGAGCGGACCCCAGCAGGCACACCCTCGAGCCCTAGGGCCTGTCCCCGCTCGGCTCCCCCACCTCACCCCCCAGGGGTCCTGGGCAGGCAGCTTCCAGAATGCCCACGGGGATGATCAGGTGCACATTTATGTAAAGGACTGTTCTGGAACAGCAGTGTGGGCGCAGAGTCATGATCCCAGGGAGGGGCTGGGAGGGCCCAGGGCAGTACAGCCCGTGACAGCAGAGACACCTTCAGGAAGGCGAGCCTGCGCCCAAACCCCACTGGGCCACTCCACAAGCGCACCTGTGACCAACCCCATCTGCCACCCACATCTCGGCCCACGGCCCGAGAGCAGGGCCATGTTGCTCAGGGCTTGGACACAGCAACGCTGTGCTGGGCAGAGCAGGTCAGGCCAGGCCACGCTGCCCAGCCCACGGCCACCGTCAGCCAGCCACTCACCGCTCCTGCTCCTCCAGGTGCAGCGCTCTGGACGGGACAGCACTTTTCCGCTTCAGCCTCTGGTAGGGGGTCAGCTCCGCTGCAGCGACAGAACCACGTTAGGCTCTGTGGGTGCTCCAGCCGTGCCGGGACGCCCGCGGGCATCAGGAGCCCCGAGCTGCTGCAGTGAGCCCATTCCTGGCACTACAGGCAACCAGGTGGGACCCCAAGCCCTTCTACAGCCCGACGCAAGTCTGAGGAGTCAGAGCCTCTGACTCCCAGCCTCTGGGGAGGGGGCTTCACCCCTTGACTTCCCTCTGCTCCTGCATCCTCGGCCAGCCCTCTGCAGCCTCCTGGCCACCCCACGTCTTTGCCATTGGCTGGCTCAGTGTACCCCTCTCTCCACACCAGGAAGAGGCCACCAGGCTTCTTTGGCCTTCATCAGCTCACGATGCTCTCCAGAGTGAAGACTCCTGGCTCTGCTCTCCAGCAGCTGGCAGCAGGACACAGGGGGCCGGGGACCAAAAGCCAGTGAGGCCCCCCAATGACGGTCATGGGTTCCACTGCACCCCACCTTCCTCTCCTCAAACAGCATGTCAGCCCCCCCACCCCAGGAAGGCCGCCTAACCTCTAATTCGGCAGAAACCCCCCAAACACCTGCTGGCCCCAAGAACAGAGATGGCGGGAGCCCCTCTTTCCTCCCCATCCTCCCCGTGCACCAGAAGCCAGGGCTGCACCGCAGCTCATCCCGGGAGCTCAAGCGTGGGCCCAGGAGGCGAGCTCTGCAGCACTGTGCCCTGACCCAGAGCTGTTGTTGTGAGGACCACACGGCCCCAAGGCAAAGCTTCTGGGAGAGGTGACAATCAAGCAGAACCGAAGTGGGTCTGATGCGGCCACAGCACTGCGGTCACTTCTTTCGAAGAACACGGGCAGAGAGAAAGGAGAGCATCTCCGTGTGTTAGGGTGGTGGGACTCTGACAACTCTGTTGACCTATCGTTTGCATTCCACCCAGTGCACACATGTGAAGTGCACAGTAACGGCTTGTGGTACATTCACGGATGCGTAGCCGTCGTCATCTTTATAGCACGCCCATCAGTCCAAATGCGAGCCCAGCCCCTGATAACCGCCATCCCCCCAGTCCTAGGCAATCGCTGACCTACTTTCTGTCTCTACGGATTTGCCTATTCTGGACATTTCCTATGAATGGGATCATACAGTACATGTGTGGTCTTTGGTGACAAGATTCTTTAGCTTAAAACAATGTTTTTGAGGTTCATCCATGTCCTAGCATGCACTGGTAGTCCGTTCTTTTTTATGGATGAATAATATCCCATTGCATGGGTATGCCATAATTTGCTTATCCATTCATCAGTTGACAGGTATTTGGGTTGTTTCCATTCTTTGGCTTTTAGAAATAATGCTGCTATAAACATGTGAGCACAAGTTCTCATTTCTCTCAAGTACATACCTAGGAGTGGAATTGCTGGGTCATACCATAACTCTATGATGAACATTTAAGGAACGGCCAGACCGCTCTCGGAAGAGGCTGCACCATTTTACGTTCCCACCAGCGGCATGGGAGGGTTCTGCTTTCTCCACATCCTCGCCAACATTTGTTACTGACGTTTCGATTATAACCATCCTGGTGAGTATGGAGTGACAGCTTAATGCAGTTTGGTGTGTACATCACTGGGAACTAATGATAGTGAGCATCTTTTTTTTTAATATTTTATTTATTTGTCAGAGAGAGAGCACAAGCAGGGGCAGTGGCAGACATAGGGAGAAGCAGACTCCCTGCTGAGCAAGGAGCCCAATGTGGGGCTCGATCCCAGGACCCTGAGATCATGACCTGAGCCGAAGGCAGAGGCTTAACGACTGGCACCCAGGCGTCCCAGTGAGCATCTTTTCATGTGCTTGTTGACCATTTGTAGATCTTTCTTTGGAAAAATCTCTATTCATACTCTTTCTCCATTTTTAAATTCAGTTATTTGTCTTTATTATGGAGCTGTAAGATTTTTTAATTTATTCTACATACAACTCTCTTGTAAGATACATGATTTTCGATATATCTCCCATACAGTCTGTTGTTTTTTCATTTTCTTGATAGTGTCCTTTGAAGCACGGAAGTTTTCAATTTTGGTGAAATCCAATTTATCCATTTTTTTCTTTCATCGCTTATGCTCTTGGTGTCATATCTAGGAATTCATTGCCAACTCTGAGGATATGAAGATTTGTCCCTATATCCTCTTTAAAGAGATTTATAGCTTAAGCTCTTGCATTTAGGTCTTCGATCCAAATTGAATTAAATTTTGTATGTGGTGTGAGGTAGGGTCAAACTTCATTCTATTGTGTCTGGATAACCACTTGTCCCAGTACCATCTGTTGAAAACTCTGTCCTTAACCTCATTTCAAAGTGTTGGCATCCTTGTTGAAAATCAGCGGACATACACTTGTATTTATTTCTGGGATCTGCATCCTATTCCACTGGTCCGTATGTCTGTCTTCATGCCAGTGCCACACTCTTTTTATTGTCGTTTTGCAGTAAGTCTCAATTTAGGAAGTATGAGTCTTTCCAATTTGCTCTTTTCTTTCAAGATTGCTACAGCTATTCTGGGACCTTTGTAATTCCATATGAATGTTAAAATTAGCTTCTCAATTTTACAAAGAAGGCAGTGGGATTCTGATAAGGAGATGTCTTCCCATTTACTGAGCCCTCCTTTAACTTCAGCAATGTATTGTAGTTTTCAGAGTGTAAGTTTGACACGGCTTTTATTAAATGTATTCACAAGTATTCTATTTTTATTAATCCTGTTGTAAATGAAACTTTTTTAAATCTCATTTTTTGTTTGCTGGCTGTAATTATATAGACACACTGCTGGTTTTTGCATATTGATCTTACATCCTGCAACCTTGCTGAATGCATTCGTTAGTTATAATAGCGGAATCGTTCTATATCTGTACTTTGTATTTTAGTATTTATATGTTTAGTTTAATATTAGTTTGTTTAAAAAGTGGATTCCCTGGATTTTCAATCTGCAAGATAATTTCTGCAAAGAGAGACAGTTTAAGTTTTCCTTTCCAATCTGAATGACTTTCTTTTCCTTGCCTGGTTACACTGGGTAACACTCCAGCACATCATCAAACAGACATGGTGAGAGGACACATTTCCGTCTGCTTTCTGATCCTAGGGACAAAGCATGCTGTCCTCCACCATGGGGTCTGTGCGCTGTGGGCCTTTTTGTAGGTCTCCCCAATCAGGTTAAGCAAGTGCCCCTCTATTCCTTGTTTGTTGTATGTTCTTTATCATGAAAGGGTGTTGGATTTTGTGAAATGCTTTTTCTACATCAATTGAAATGATCATGTGGTTTTTCTTCTTCAGTCTAAAAATGGGGTGTATTACATTGATTTTGCTCTTGTTGAACCATTCTTGCATTCCAAGGTCCGGCTGCAAGCTACCAGGTGCAGAGGTGAGGCAACCAGGTGCAGAGGTGGGACAGCCAGGGTGCAGAGGTGAGGCAGCCAGGGCAGAGGTGAGGCAGCCAGGCGCAGAGGTGGGACAGCCAGGCGCAGAGGTGAGGCAGCCAGGGCAGAGGTGAGGC